GCGTTTATATCAGATTACTTAGCATATTGAATTGTTCTCTGGAATCGTGTTCTATTATACGTACACATAAATTTTTTTCAATCCAAGTAATTTCAATTGAATTCATTTGTTACAATCGTGTATCAGTTAAATAATTCGGATCATGCGCGAAGCATTGCTCAATTTGGTTAAACTTGCATTGATTTCAGATTTATCAACGATATACCATTGAACGGCTTTTCATAATTCGCTGGTACAAGTCTGAGTCCACTCCAAATGACAACAGATACATTCATCGACGTCACTGTACGGTTTGATCNTTAATTTCGTATGAGCTGTCAATGTTTCTTCCACATTTGAAGTTAAGATTACTCGCCATCTTGAAGCCACAATTTTAAGGATTTTCAATTCCGTGCTCTTCGTCGGGTTCGATTATTCTCGAAATGTGCCGTCAAGTGGAGCAGTCAATGTGTGCCTTCATCGCTTATTACAACATCGCCACATTTTGGTATCACGGTTGTTGGTTCATCAGAAGGTGCGCTGATATCATTCAGGACGGCTGATGTGCACTGCTTAGAGGCAAAAGACAGTAATCGAGATATTGAGGTCAACAACCTTTGTTTGAAGAAGAATGTTCTGCCGGGAAATGAGGTTAGTGATAATTATGTGAAGAGTGCTTCTTTTGAATGTTGCTGTTCTTCTGTTATTCTCGCTTTTGCAGTTTTGGATGATTGTTGAAAATTACCGTGTGAGATGCACTATGCAATCTGATTTTACTATGATCAAAGTGGTTTCGTTTTGCATTCAGCTAGGTGATTGCATATTTTCACTGAAGCAAAAATATATCTCATAAAATGTGAATTTTCCACAACAATTACAATGAAATGTATGCATGATAGATATATGTGCTTAATATCAAATAATCAACATTGGTTTTGGTGATTATTTTGAAAGTGACTCAATTCAGAACGATGAACTGATTGCATTGGGATGCAGTTGTAGCGGTCGAGTGCTATCGGCGCTGGTGAACACCTCGAATGGTCCATTCGTTTACTTGATGGATATTTGTGCCCTCTCACCGGATTATTCATCGAAGGTTAATAAATAATTTGAATGCTTGTTCTCATCGTCCATCGATGTTATATTATTTATTCTGAAGATTGTTGATCATAAAAATGGATTAGTTTAACAATTTTATGAGAGGCCATCGTCGCAAAAGCGATGCGTAAATGAAGAGGTGAAATTTCGAAAACGCTTTTTGGATGAGTTGGAAACACGAGCGTAAACATCGTAACTATCAAAGAGTCAATTGAGCTGTCATCGAAAAATTATTGAAAGTGCAGCGTTCATGTATTTAAGGCGGGTGTGGTGCAATCCATACGAGTTTCGAGTAGAAATGAAGCGTGCGGAATAGCACTCGAATGGAATCCGCAACTGGAGGGCGTATTTGCTGTGATTGCGAACGATGGCACTCTTTCGACGTATCTTTTCGATATTCAGGTTTGTTTTATCCGCTTGATTTTAGTTGTTAATACTCGAATTTTTTGTGATATTCAGCGATTCGTAACACTGTCCGGATATTGTGACTTTTATAAGATCATATCTGTATAACTGCGTTTGATAAGAATATTTATTGATTTTCACTGAGGAGGTAAATCGAGTAACTATGTAGAGCTTAGGTTGGTAGTGCAGTCTGCAATCTGAATCGTTCAATTTCGATTGTTTTCGACAATATTTTCGGTCTGTGGTTATAAATCTAAACTGATTTGTAGTTGTTGGATGCTGCGATGGGACATTTTTGTGATTGCAAAATTTCAGAATGCAGCACGAGTGAGCATAGTGGGCACGACGACTTTGAATGTTGCGGCCAGTTGTTTGAGTTGGAGTCCGAAAGGGAAGCAGTTGGTTATCGGTGATAATGACGGCAAAATACTACAGTATAAGCCAGAAATGGCTTTGGTACGAACTGTCGCAGCTCCTGTCGATATTCCATCGATGCAAGGTGATCGATTGCATCAGTTTGCATCGTTTCGTTAATTCTGTCGTGTTTTCATATTTTGGTGGACCTGTGAATAGTTTTGTTTGTGAGATATCGAAAGTGCGATGTTGTTGCGATGTTGCGTTGGAGGTTTCAAAAATTGTTATTCATTTTTTGTTATTCGATTCGTCTTCTTCTTGCAGGTGAGGCTGTTCGTAGTGTCGGATTGTGTTGGTTAGCCACAACCGACTTTATGGTAGCGTACTCGTCACAGAACGGTGATAAGGTCGATATCGCATCGTTAACCGTCAAAAAAGATACACCTCCGAAATGGACACATTTCGATGACGTGACCTACAATGGGAGTCGAAGCAGTTTCGCGCAGAGGATCATCTTCGTGCCACTGCATTCTTGGCACATTCTCTTGTGTGCTTCATCGAAATCCACTGAGGTGAATTCTGAACTTATATGGTGGTTGTGTTAGACCGCTTATTGTTAGTTTTCGTTTCATTTCTGCGAGTTCATCAATAGAACATTCGACTTGGAATACTATTACGGACTGATTTGATGTGGGAAATTAGCGAATTGATTCTGATAAGGCAAGCAGAACGTCGCAAAACAAGATAGTGATTTTCCCTCTCTCTCTTTTGCCCTCAAAAATTCTTCCACCTGATACAAAAATATTCAGAGAAATTAAGAGGAAGCAATCGGTTATAGTTTCTCGAAAATTTTATTGAACAAAAAAAGCTTTAGGTGGCGTTGTTGGGTAAGGTTGAGAACACATGGAAATGTTGGCAACTAGACGATACGTCTNTAAGAGGAAGCAATCGGTTACAGTATCTGGAAAATTTTATTGAACAAAAAAAGCTTTAGGTGGCGTTGTTGGGTAAGGTTGAGAACACATGGAAATGTTGGCAACTAGACGATACGTCTCGAATCGAAACACCTCTCAGTCGCAAGGGAGAAGAGACGTTCCCTGTTGGTCTGTGCATCGATACATCATCACAAGTGAATGTCACGTTGAGTAAGTGAATCCGTTCCATTTATCGTTCAAAAACCGTTTTTTCTCTTTAATAGTCTGCAACAGCGATCACGTAAACACCTTTTGATATCGCACAATTTTGCGAAGCTTTTGAATCGACGATTGTGACGCTTTAAAACGAGGAAAGCGTTGTTGAATTCAGAATTTGACCGTGATCGGTATAATCTCTCCATTTTATTCGGGAAATTGTAAGTGAATGAAAGAGATTTTATTGCGTAAAATTAATTTAGATGATGACGGCACTATGGAAAGACCTCCTTGTCCAACTGTAATGGTCTTTTCAACCGATGGTGTTCTGCATTCATTCAGTGCGATTTCGTTTAAACCAGAGCATAAAAACATTAACAGGTATCTCTCACTCATTCCGATGATTTTTTTTTTCAAATTTTGACGGAGAGAATTTACTCAGTTTATGGATCACCACTAGAAGTGTTACGGGATGGGACATCTCATCAGCGACAATGTAACATTTTACAAAACTAACGTGAC